TTGAAATCAAAAATTAAATATAATATTATGTAATTAATTGTTATTGACTAATAATTGTATTTGTCTGCGTTAACGGTATGCTAGTTAATAAAATACTACATATAACATTATAACTACCTGTAATACCTGGGTAACATAATGTTTTAAATTTTTAATATACCTAAATACATGGTATATTTACAGCTGCATCTATAGAGATACGATCCTGCAGTAGCCACGATATCATCTGTAAATATATACTTTTATAGTATTTTATGTTTATTATTTATATTTTATACTAATAGTTTTTTTACTGATAAGATAGCTTTTACCTATATATTATAATATTGTATATATTATGAGAAGAGATAACATAATATATTATTATTACATATATAGTTTAACACGTTTACCCAGACTGGTTTGATATATTACGTTTATTAGTAATACCTATATACTATATATACAGTATTGAAATTATTATTTACTTATTTTAATATACCTTCCTAGTACCTATTAAGTATAATTTATGTATTGAAATGGTACACCATTACTATACTATCTCGACGTTCTTAGGTATCCGGATTTTTGGCTACATATTTAACTATATAGTATATTTTAATGAATACTTGCATAATACGAAAATATACATATACTTGTCGATAAGTAAAAAAATATAATATACCCATCGTCACAAATGTAATAGGTAAATATGTCATATTTCATAAAGACTTTTTTTATTGAAAAATAGCAATATGCAATTATCTACCTGTAACTATATACTGTTGAATATCAAGATGAACATGATAAATCCATTGGAAACATATTTTAATGAGAGTATCAGAAATCAATAATGTCGTAATAAAAATAGGATAAAATAGTTTTTTTTTAAACTAAAAATTTGCCATGTTGTGATTATATTTTGTTTGTAAAAAAACAAATTAGATGCATACATTGCTCATAAAAAAAGAAAACAGTTGTTAAGATACGGTCATGACATAAATTTTTTTGTTCTCTTAAATATAATCGTAAACTTAAGGTTATTTTCACGTCACGATATATATGTATTTTTAAATAAACAATTACTATATTGTGTACGACTGTTAGGTTATTTTACTGATAATACTTATTTTTTATAAATAATTTTGTTTAGTTATGGAATGGCTTCATAAGTATATAAGATAATTGTATATAATATAGTTAATGAAAAATACTATTACATCACTTTTTTATTTAATCACCAAAATATTTTCTATAGTATACCTATTATTACAAATATCACGTCTTACTATATTCTATCATGTGACTTAGGTGTGATGTATATTTTTGACATTTTTATTTCTTTTGTTCTAACTATAACCTGGGATACAACGTATAGGTAGTCAGTAAAGGAAAACATTTTAAATCATCTCTGTCCGTTTGGTTGCAATTTATGTTAGATAGTTTATAATAATATATAATTCACGTCGTCGGTGCTGCATCACGGGCCATTGCCGGTTTGCATCACGACGGTATGATAATAACAATAATAATAACATATAATAATAACCATTTCGCAGTTTGATTTTAGAGGTTGGTCAATGTGCATAATATTTATTGCTGTTAAATTATGTCTCTGAAACACTGTTGGTTAGATGGAAACGTGCGTGTTTCAAACACGTCCGAGCTGTCCTATACGACATACGTGACTTAACCCGAGCAAAAAATGTGTTCAGTACGAAGAAACAAAAACAGTTATGTTTTAAGCAAAAAAAGTACCTGTCAACAGAGTATTGGACACGGGTGTATTATTAAAAAAAAAAATATAAAAAAATTAAATAAGGCATTAAAAGTGGTCGGAAACAATTCAGTAGTAGAACTATAAGTATATATATATAAGCAGTGGGTACTACGACATATAGTGTATTGCAATAATTATTATTCGCATATTATTACCGTTGTCCGTTGCGTTTTACATTTCGGTTTGAGAGCTTATAAGAACGATTTCATGTGGTCAAATAGGTATTATAATAATTACTTCACTTTATTTTGACCGATTACAATAATATGCGCAATACGATATTATAGCGGTTGGATGTAGATCGATGGAGAGAAACGTTTTTCCACCAACAACTACTGGTCAAGCTGTAAGTACCTACACACAATATAGGCACCACTGTTTTCAATTTCAAAATGTCCGAAACAACATTACAAATAGGTATAGGTAGTAGTGATGGGTTTGGCACTAAATAGTCAAACAACCAATATATAGAGAGTCTATGGAAATATCTTTCATGTATAGGAACCTGATTTTCTTCTTTGGAAGATTCCCGCATTCTCCCGAGACTTGTGCACCGTGCGCAATATTCACACTTGCTGCGCTGACACACCTGAGCTTGGGAGGTGTTTATAATATTATAATATATTTTGACAGACACGTCGAATACGTTATACCAGCATAATTGGATATTATTTTTCCTTCGTGGCGTATCGATTGTTTACGGTTTTGAAATAATATTGTATAATATTATGATTCTGTTCAGTTTAACCTTGTTATAAACACAACTATTATAAGATTCAACGGAACGAGGTTTCGACATACGGACACGTAATATTATTGTAATTAAAATTAACGATGACTGTTAAATACTCTCACACATGTAAAATATAGGTACATTTATAATACTCATTACATATTATTATTATTATTATATATTTATATATAATATTATGATACTATATGAATAATACGTCTTTTAAACTCAAAATTACATTTTTAACCTTATAATAATATTATGATAATAACAATAGTTGAATGAAGATAATATAATTCAGGTAATTATATGTATTATTTTATTCGGAGATCGGATAGAGATTAAAATTTTATACTACCCATAAGAAACTTCACACACACACACACACACACACACACACACACACACACACAATTAATATTATATTAATAAAAGTTGCGATTAACACGTCAGTAAGGACATAACTATTAAACTACGCACAGCCAGAGGGTCATTAATAACATTATAATGCTTTAAAATGAATACTGCACCATTAGCTGTTGACGGTGTGGTCGTGCGACGTCCACTATAGATGTCTAATGCCTATAAACTAATAAACTATAATATTATTGGTAGTGTACCTCTATAATGGGCAACCCCTCACTAAAACCGTCTATAAATTCTATTATTCTAATACCTAATTTTTTATAACATTATACATTTATCGAGCAAACTGAGTATCTGAAGGGTATAGAATTGGATTTTCTGGTTTTTAAATAAAAAAAAACGTAGAGCCTAGTGGGGTTACCTAAAATCAGCACTAATAATTTGAAAAAGGATGGCCGGCGCCGCGCCAGGTGTAAACCAAAAACCACCATCGACGCCAGACGACCGTCGACCGCGGTTGGTAAGGGGTTCAAAAATTATTTGTGCTCTTACCTGTTCGTGTAAGACAATACGTAAATTGTTGTTGTTGGTGCGTCGCACTGGAAACCTGTGTTCTCTGTTGGTTTTTATTCTTCAAGAACACCGCCACCAGTACAATAATATTACTGTCGTAACAACAATATTTCGATTCGCGAGAACGTTTAGTCACTCGGGTTTTTACGTAAGCGTCGAGCGTTCGTATGAAACGAGAAAGAGAAACCGGCACGAAACAAGCGAACGATCTGACGACACCTGACGGACTGCGGTCTGCGAAGTGCGATAGTTCGGTGCAACGGCGACGGCGCGATCGACGATTTCCCGGTATCTCGGCGGCGCTCACATTTCTTCGTTGCGTTACCAAAGACGCGCGCGCGCGAGCACGACTACTACCAGACGTACCGACCACGGCGCATGCGTCACCGCGATACGACGTTCACGCCGAACCAGTCGTCGTCGTCGTCGTGGTTACCAGACGTATATACGGCGTGACAGTGAAACGCGCCTTAAACAACCGATGTTTTTTTTAATTTTAATTTCTAGGTACTATTATTACACTCCACCGGGGACCGCCTTTATAGAAGACGTTTAATCGTCGTCGATTATAAACCATTGAACGTCGTTTCAATGATTAGCGAGCTGGTTCAACGTCGTCGAGTACAATACATAATATTATATAGGTATAGGTAGGTACCGCGATGAATACGATTTAAGGCGCATTTACAGCTAGGTCTTGTGTCATATCGTGCTAGGGCTTAGTAACCATGGTTACAACTGGTAACCATATTGGTTTAACAGTTGAGCAGTATAGTCGATTCTTGGTATACTCGGCTGCATCTTGGTTATTACATGGTACCAAAAAAGTTATGTCTAGTAATATATAAGTAATCACAGTGCTATTTGATCGTCACGACGTAGCTGTGAATCCGGCTTTGTTAATAATATCACCCGATGTCGCCAACACGACCGTGGTTATTGTATAATATTATTATTTATTATGGTCTATTATATTATTATATTGAAGAAATTTTAAAGTGGTGAACGTTTTAAACGTTTAATAACAGAGAAATTCGGACTCTATGTTTGCTAAAGAATTAAGTAAACTTTTGCAAACATTGCAATCGCCATGATCCAGTCTGTTCAGTACCAATAACCAATACCTACCTTGGTATAATAATATCAAACATTTTATATTTAAATAAGTAATAATACAATTGCATGTTACTATCACAATTATAATATAATATATAATCTGTGTTATTAGTTATTACGGACTTATTCACAGAGCATCAATGGTATAATTATTTATGACTTATACCATGGTTAATGTATGAATTTCAATCTTTTCAACGTTTCAAACGTTGGCGTTTGTCCTTGCGAAACGTTTTCTGCAATACAATTTCTTCTTTGTCAACTTTTGGTATACTCGGTTGCATCTTGGTTATGACATGATACCAAAAAATTAATGCCCAGTAATGTAAGTAATCATAATGATATTTGATCGACACTGCGTAGCTGTGAATCCAGCTCTATTAATAATATCACACGATGTCGCCGACACGACCGTGGTTATGGTATAATAATATTATGGTCTATCATATATTATTACAGGTGCGCGTCGTATGGTATACGGTCGACGTGAGCATACCAAAGACCGAGTACGCTGGATCCGCTGTCGAAGGACGTTGCTCTTGCAGCGGTCATCGAGCGCCTACCACCCGGGAAGAGCCTCGCCTGTTGCAGCTGCTGCAGGTGCACTGCTGCACCGCCCGAGCAAGGAAGTCGAGCTCCCCCGACCGACTCCGACCGACCTCCCGAGGGAGGGTGCCACTCGCTAGTCTGCTGCTGCCCGCTGGTGTCTAAATACATACCCAAGTATAATATTACAATTATTATCATCATCAATATTCATTATCATTGTAATATGTTACATTACTATTATATTCGTGTGTATAGTACGGATGGGGCGTCGTCATTCTTCTCCAGCATATTATAATAATATGATCCATAAGATGAAAATTTTGTTATAATAAACAAGTAACAATAACAATAATGCCCAAAAAACTGTAATTATTATAATATTAATATTATAGGGTTATACGTGCCCGCGCACAATACAAACAATAAGCCGCTTCATCTTTTTTTTTTTTTCATTTCGTTTTTATATAATATTATACATTGCACCGAGTGCGGGACTCGGGTGTATTATAATATAATATTAAAATAATAATGAAGTGTATCATTGTGTGTGGTGTTGTACGTATGTATACGTGCACTTTGTATCTATTATAGAGGTTTAACCGTGTCCGCAGCGAACGTACCGCATCACGTAATAACAACAACAACAACAAGAACACAAATAATAATAAAAGAAGATCGGACTTGTGCTACCCATCATGTGTGTGTGTGTGTGTCGTGGTCAACGGTCTTCGCGCCTGAGTGCTATCGACGACAACGTGCAACGGTGTAAAGTCGTAGGTATCGCGAGCGCGGTGCCTCCCTATTGCCCCTCACGTACAAATCCCCCCTCCCATTACAGATCCCACACCCCGCCCACCGTACGAACCCGTATCGAATCGGTCGACAGCCGGTCGGGCATTTGAGATTTTTTCCGCCCGCAGAGAGTTCAGACTAGTTTTATTTCGTCGTCGTCGTCGTCGTCTTCGTTTATCATCGCATCCGGCCAATAACTATACTATATAAGTACGACGTAATAATAATATTACGATTCTGTAGTATATACTATATACGATACACAGTATGTAAATAGGAGCCGTCGATGTGTCTATAAGTGTCTTCCTGCGGAGGGATTTTTCGTTTTTGATCGACGTCATGACAATATTATCATTCCCCATAATCCAATTCACCGACGAAGAAACGATTTCGTTTATTTTTCAACTATTTTTATAACATCTCAAGTGTTTCGGATCCTGACATCCTGTCCCCAGTGATAATATTATGCATACTGTCTAATCAAAACCGTTTCGAATGACAACGATAATAATGTATGACTTACTGCAACAAACAAGAAATACAATAGGTATAGGAACATGGTCCCTAAATGTCATAGTTCTCGTAACTATACGCGAAAAACCTTCGAGGTAATTAATAATTATTAATTATAATATGGAGGTCATTGATGCACAGAATATCGTAGCTGGACAATGGATATAAAATGTTAGGATATTAAATGTTTTAAGGTTTTATTGAATTCATCTTAATCAAATGTTAAGTTACAATAATATATTGTAATTGTCATAGTCGAGCTATACAAATATTGTAATGAAAACTCCATATTATGATTTATTGTACAATAATTTTGACTTATAATTGGCGAAGATAAATTGATAGAACCATAAGATTACCGATTGATTGAGAGCAAACAAAACACACCAACACTGGAACAATAATATTTTGGTATTTACGGATCGTAATCTCGTGGCCGCTCTATCTCTAAGTCGATAACTACACTAACGTATATAACTGTGTGATTGCCTATCCTCCATCCTTATTTTAAAACCAGACCATAAACACATTTTGTATTTGATTTATCAGCACTCATTGTTCAAGGAGAAAGAATATTAAATAGTTTGAAACACAGTTAAATTTTAACTGCGTTTCAAACTGTGTCTCCACTTGTAGTGATTTTTGAATCTATTTTAATAAACTATTGTACATCAATACTATAGGTTTTATTTTTTTAACTATTGTCTAACGTTTAACCATTAACTATAAAGATAAGTCGAGATTTTAAAATTAAGGAAAATATAAGATGAAACAAAAGTATGCACTATAATTTATAAAATTACAAATATGTATTAAATATGCCAAACAAGGAAAAAAATAGTTGAAATATGCATAACATAATAATATATGCAAAATACAATAATTTGCGTTATTTTGATAGGAATGATCTAAATCGGGAAAAAAATGTTACACAATTTCAAATAGCTTATTTCAATTCATTATATACATTTGTATGCAATTATAATTTATAATAATAATCAACTCCACGAAATCTGCAACTTGCAAGATTGCTGCATGTAGCGTTTGTACTGGTATTGTGGTATAGTACTGGTATCTATGACCATTGGACAATCATTTTTAACATTTTTTTATAATATTTTGTTGTTAATACCGCCGTGTGCAATGCCGATATCTATTATTATAATTTATAATATTGTGATCTACCAATATATTGAACGAGAGACGAGCTATTGGCCGACCGATATACAAATACTATGTACACAACACACGCTGAACAACAACGCACGTTTTAATATTAGTACATTTTTTGTCTGTATAATGTCGATATAATAATATGATAGTATCATTCGATCGTGAATGTGGCCTAATGTTTGTGGCCTTTATAATTTATGCAATAAATAAATAAATGAATACTATAAGTTTTTGTGCAAGGCGTATAGTGACTTTAATGTCCAATTGATAATTGATAATTTTCTTTTATCGTTTTGATACAATCAATGGTCGCTTGTATGTATTTGTTTTCACAAGTTTATAAATTGTGTGTTTATAGTTTATACAAAGTGTTATATTATGTGTATAGTATAATGTATTTTATTTTCCGGGTCTGTGTTTTGTGAAGAATTTCTTCAGAATTTGTACACAGATATTTCAATATTTGTGGCCTGAATATTGTGCGCCGATTTTAGTTGTGAATGGTTAACCCAATCAATCGATTCTATATTATTTCCATATTATTATTACAATGTATTATAATTAGTGTTGAGCACTTGAGCCACAGGTGATTTTATAGGTTTTTTTAAACTTATTTTAATATATTCGAGTCTCAATAACTCAGAACTTAATAGAGCAAAAATAAATTCGACTTGGGTATGTATTTTTTGAATTACAAACCTTAAACACAACTGAAAACATTCAGAGGGGGCAAGATAAAAAATTGAGTTATCGAGACTTGACTGTACTTATGAATATTGTGAATTCTTTATTAATTATTACAATACCTATATTAAATTGCTCAACATACGTTTTGAACATTTATAAGTAGAATAAGAATGTATGCCCTGGCAAAACAGCACCCGCATCACCGAAGCCACCAATATCCGCAACATCGAAGACAACTCAGAACTCGCTGCCCAACAGCAAACAAAGTTGAACACCCCCATCCCCCCTTCCCCCAAACAAGTTTATCTCACTACAGCTTTGAGGTACAGTAGATAATGATAATACGACCTTGATAATATTTAAAGGCTACATATTGTTAAATGGGTGCGTTGATAAAATACGAGTTTCATATCATTTTCACGTTTTTCTTGCACACTTATGGGAAAAACAGTTTTTCTCATGTTAGGGGGGGGGAATTGTATGAAATTGTATTTTACTTGTACAAAATTGTACAAAATAAGTACACAATACTGTCAAGGTTTAGTATTGAATTTTTTAAGTGGAAGTGCTGGCGAAACGGAGCTGTATTACACTTCGTATAAGTTTATAGTACCTAACGTCTACGCTGTACGTATTTGACGTAGGTAGTAGCAGAAAATATAGGTACAACCAAATTTAAAACAAGTTAGTAAATCACTTATTTTTTCATTACCACCACCACTTGTCTGAATAGTTTGACCTTCGTTGATCATATACCTAGCTGGTAGGAGGAACATAATTAATATCAACATCGCCAGCACACCAGCAATACGATATATTAGTAATTAGTATACCTTAAGGACGACCCGATATTATGTGTATAGTGTTATAAAGTTGTACTGGTATTATAATCTTATCATAATATTATACTATGTGAAGTTAAAAGTTAATCAATTCTCTACAGATATTGTCAGTGTTGAATATATAGATATATAATATTATTATAGTATATACAAATAATATATATTATATAATATATACCGACAAGTTAGAAAACGTACGGTGAAATATTGTTTAGTGTATAGTGGCATTAATTATATATAACAAAGTTAATGTATGTTGTTTATACTTTTAAATATATTTTGTTTTAATCTCAGCTCAAAATTGGCAATGGAGGTGATGAATTCCAGGATAATAATATATTCATGTTTAATTTTCGGTACGTAATACCAGTGTTAACAATATAGTAATAAATAGAAAATCATAGTTTCATGACATTATGTTAGTATAATAATCATTAAATTTAAATACTAAATATACCAGAAAACTAAAAAGTGTAATAATTGTATCCATCTAAGATGAAGAGTTTTGATTACAATTTACTATATAAAATAAAACAGGAATTTAATCAAAACAATAATATGTAATTGTGATAACAATATTTTTCAAACTAATTAATTTAAATTAAACTCACTGCCTATACAAATAATATGATATTTAATTTTTCTCAGATTTGATTTATTAATGAACTATTAAATATATGTGCGTATCGTATGTGTGTGCGATTGTGTTCTATGTAAAATTGTAAATGTTCTTAAAAGTAACCGATACGCTGGTTGTTGAGTTTAGATCATATTATATTATGAATGTAGAATGTAGCCACAGCCTATTATTTTATTGCAGATATTAGCGACAAGTCCCCGAATTAGGTGTTCAATGTGCGCATGCGCGAAGCAACTCTTTGAACAATTATCCATAAGGTTAATATTACAGAATTGTTCTATATCTTACTATCTTAGTTCGTGGTTAGAACTTATTTTATTATTTATTATAGTAATTATTATAGAAGTTATTAGGTACCTATACTATTTTTTAGTATTATAAGATTTCGTTAATTGTTATCGAAATTCAAAATATAAAATGGTGATTTAATAACAAATAATCTGGGGATAAATATGTGATTAGTGGAGTCACGCATGTGCATATCTAACACTTAATTCGGTGACTCGTCGCTGATATCGACAACATTTTTTAGATTCTGAGTGGAACGATGAATGTGTTGATTTTACAGTGATGATGTGTGTGTGTTTTTTTTTGTGTCCGTGAACACGATAAGTAGTCGAAATAATGCTTCGATTTTCAACTTCAGTATCTTGTTTGATGGGAAAGTGAATATTGTTGGTGCATTGGGGATGTAAAAATTTAAAATTCCCAGTAATTTTCAAAAGGGTCGTCAAAAACAAAAGAAAAATTAAGGAAAAACGGGAATTTTTACTCAAAATTGATTTGACTGATCGACTGGTTGTTTATATTTCCATTTTATATATATGATGAAATTTTCAAAATATTTTGATTTGTTTTGAACTGTTTAGGGACATTTTCAGTTTACAATTTTATTAGTTTTTTTTTCTAGAAAGTCAATATAACTTTATTTGTTGATTAAAAATACTTGAAAATGTAGTACAAGGATCTTACTACATTGTTACAATTACATTTGAAAAATATTAAAAATCATAAGTCACAGTTTTTTTTGATAAGCATTTAAAGTTCAAAAATTGACAAAATATGGAAAAATCAAGAAAATTAGCAAATTATTTTGAGTTAAGAATTCGTAAAAATTTTTCTTTTTAAATCTAAGATTTTAAAATGTAATACAAGATTATCTACCTTTATCAAAAAAAAAAAATTTCTACAAGAAACTCAAATTACATTTTTATGAGCGTTTGAAATTCAAATTTTTACAACACGATATTCACTCAATTTCTCATGTAGTGATTTTCTTATTTTGTTGTATTTCAAAAACGAATCACTGTAAATACATGATAATCTCACTGAATGCTTATTTTATCAATTCTTATACTTGATAACATTTTCAAAATATTTTGTCTTATTTTAAACTGTTTACGGTCAATTTCATATTTCAATTTTTTTAGAGTCTTATCTGTTGGGCCAAAAAGTGTAAAAATGTAATACAAGGCTCCTGATATATTGTTACTATAGCAGTTGAAAAATATTAAAAATATTTAAGCACAATTTTTTTTATAATAGTATTAAAAATCAAATTTTTACAAAATTTATGAAATTTAAAATTAAATAATAATTATTTTGTAGTTAAAAATTTATAAAATGTTCAACTTTTAGACTCGCACTTGACTGGTTTTTTCTTATACAATGATATTATATCATTGAATTCAAATTTAATACCATCCACTATACAGTGGCCCACTTGTAACCTACCGTACAGCAGAGCGACATCCACTTGTCCACCTTTTTTTAAATTGATTTAATACTCTGTGGTTTCATCCATAGTATATGATATGAGTATTGTTTGGTGAGAAACTTTACTATTATATAATTTTGGAGAATTATAATACAATAATATTGTATCTATATTTACTGAGAAAAAATTGTCACAATATAAACTTATATAGGTACATTATTTTACTCCAAATTCAGAAACCGCCTTCATAACCACACAAACCCTCATGTTAAAAAGTTACTATCTATCTCCATCCCTGGAAATCCCCCTAGAAGACTCAAGCGACAATGGCCTCGAGATCTTATAAATTAAAATCATAAACCTAAAATCATAAAATTGTAAATAAATTGTAAATTCACGCCGAAGTGCCTTCGCTGGTTGGTTCTTCCCTCAAGATATTCAAGCTCATAAATTATAATTTTAAAAATAACCATCATTTATGCTTATTGTACTTTTTTTTTATGTACAGATTGTATAGTTTCTAGATTAAAAATAAAAAAAAAAAAAAAAAAAAAATATAGGTACATATTTACAGTTACTAAGTTCAAACATAAAACTTTGATACGTAGGTACCTAAATAAAACTGACAGTGCTGTAATAGCTGTATAGTAATTAATAACTAGGTATAACTTGTAAGTTGAAAACTGACAAACTGCATAGGAAGGATCTGTAGGTAGGTAACTTGTATAGGTTGGAAACTATATACCTATATACCTAACTGTAACTTGTAAGTTGGAAGTTGTACCACAGACAGAACACACTAAAATGACACAGTGATGGAGATTTTTATAAATAAATAAAATTTATAAGTTTTACCATAATATTAATTTTTTTACCTACCTACTACGGGAAAACTTAACTTGTATGAATAATAATAAAACCTCCATCATTGCCATAGGTTAGGGTTAATTTTTTTTTTTTTTTTTTTATCCATTTTCGTTAATATGAACCTTATTAAACTCGATAAAATGATTTTTTAAATTTTTAAAAATTTAATTTATTTAACAAACCCAAATTATTTAGTTAAATATAATTTTTTCTTTATCTAACCAAAACAAATAATTGTTTTATTATATTTATACAAATAAGTAACGATATAAGTTATATTGAATTAAATAAGCATCGTTGATTTAATAAATTTGAAATACTTAGTTCAATAAAAATGTAATTCAATTAAATCAAAATATCATTGAATGAATAATATTTTGATTTCAATTACAAAAACTCATTGGTTGATTATTATTTATAAAATATTTTTGTTAATTCGTGTAGTATTGTTCGTTAGGTGAAAGTAGCTTGAGAGTAAAATGATTATTTTTCTTTTTACATTTTATTGACTGGACAAAATGGTTTACCCCCACCTATTAGTATTAACTGAAATGATGCCACCATAAAAATTACACATGAATTCACCATGTATAAGATTATGTGATGATACTATTGAATTCAAATGTCGATTGAAATAATAAATAATAATCTGAATCCATCGTTTACGTATTTAATGCATAAGAATTCATTATTTCAGGATTCGGAATTTTATGTGACGGAAAACATGAGAGACGACAAGCTGTACCATTTTGCTCAGAGTTGGTGACTGTAGTATAAATAATTAATGATATTATATTATTACCTATGTTAATATAATTGATGAAAATAATGCAAGAGCTTTTTAAATGAATTTTGTCATTATTAACTTTGTTTCATGCTGATATTATCACTCGATACAAATTATTTTTGGATTTGGCACAACTGCCCACTGTAATGTTTAAGATGTATACATATAGACATTATTAAATTTCGATTAGATTTCATATTTGCTTAAAATTTTATAGTTAATATTAAATAATAATTAGTTTCACATTTGAATAAAATTATAGAAACTCTGAGGATAATTTTTATTGTTCAAATGGACTGTGCATCGAAATGTCATGGGTTTGTGATGGCCGTAAGGATTGTTCAGATGGTTCAGACGAGATCAAAGAGTTGTGTGCTCGATACGAGTATAGAACAAATATGTCAGGTAAAAAATAATAGTCATATGACATTTAATATTATTGTTATGGTTATTATTATTATGTATAATAACTTATGGTTGCCAAAGATATGCAGATTTATCTAAATATGAAGCATCTAATATTACGTCTAATAAAATATTAATATTGTTTTAGACTGCGGTAAAGTAAATATAAACAACCCAGTATTATTGGAAGGAGGTAAGAATAAAGCAACAGTTGAAACAGCACCTTGGTTTGTCGCAATATTTCAATTATTTGATATGGAATATCAATTTATATGTGTAGGATCAATTATTGCTCCTCATTTAGTCATTTCTGGTAGAATCCTTGTATTTACAATGTATTTAATTATAAATGAAAATTAACCAAATAACGTTTTTAGTGGCTAAACCTTTTTGGAAAAAAGGTATGTTAACTAAACAGATATCAATAACTGATGGTCTATACAAAATTGCTGTTGGGAAATGTGATAAAAATTTTAATGTTATTGACAATGTCTTAACTCAAATAATGGATGTACGTTATTAATAAGTTAAAGTCTACAAATACTTTGTATGATGTGTATAATATATATTAAAACAATTTTTGTATGTAGACATGATATACGTGCCTAATGGTTATAATAAAAATGAAAATGGGCTCCATAATGACGATATATCTGTTCTTGTATTAGCAAATAAAGTTTCGTTTAGTAATGGTATTACACCTGTTTGTATCGACTGGAATAGTAAATATAATACACAGGATGGGGATCAAGGACAAGTAAATTTTTTATAATGTATAGTTTGTTGTTTCATTAAATGCTTAAAATATAATTTGAATTTTGTTGCATGGTTTAATTTTTACAAAGCGGTGGGAGGATATGGTTAAGTAAGTACATTTTGCTGTAAGCCTCACATCGATATATTAAGAAAACCAAAAATAAGTGACAAATTAAGGTCAAAAGCATACAATTTTCCCAGTACATTTTGATAAAAATGAGGAAGTTGTCAGTAATTAGGTACTCTAAATTAATTTACGTAACAAAATCTGTTCTGAGGAACATAAAAATGTATAGATACCAGCTTAAAATTTCTTTCAGACTGAGCTCTGCAGTATTAACATAACAATTATATTTGTCGTCATCACTTAGGCTTGGAATTACATTGGCGCCTAAAAGAATATACTTTTGTAAAATTACTGAACACTATTCTTATTTCTTATTTCGTATTCGATCCATTTCCAAACTTAAAAACTTTGATGAGTCAGGCTTTATTTAACAAATAAACTTAAACTCATTACCGACACTTATAATTAGATATTAATATTATACCTTCAATTAAAATGTACATTATAATACTGTTTGATGTTTCATACTTTTACAGATTTTTAATTGGGGAGATACGAACAATGGATCAGAGAGTTCTGTATTATTAGAAAGATTTTTTCCGTACATCAACCCTAGTACTTGTCGACAATTTTATCATCGAAAAAGAACTGCAGCATTTGTGACTTACGATAAGTTTTGTGCCGGTCCGATATCGAGTAATACAAACTTAAATTATAAAGAATAGATAAAAGTACTGATTTTATAATGATATGTGGTTTTTTTGTGTTTATAACACATCTTAGAGCAGTTCAATCCCCCCCCCCCTTAATAGTTGACGGATTTTTACCTATTCATTAGCTACCCAACAATAGTGATATGTTTATCTTGTGTCTCATGTATAAAATATATCCTGTTTCAGAATCAGAAGATATTAATGATATTACCGGAGCAGGTATAAGCTTTTTACATGGTAGTTCATATTTTTTAACAGGGGTACTGGGTCTTGTTCATATAGACACGTACTATAAAGTCCCAGCTTTTACAGACATTAAGTACCATGTTCCATGGATTCGTGGGATCTCAAATAAACACGTACGTAAATACATTTATTTTTAGGTATGCATTTATAATTTGGCTTAATTTTTATTGACAATTATTCACCTTCAAAACTAATATACTTTAGAAAGAATGTAGATACATTTTAACATTTAAAGTTTTGACAGATCATACTGAATTCATGTGTTTTACCAACTGTCGAAGGAGTTGTATATTCTTATAAAGGTTCTAATGACATTTTATCTCACGGAACATTAATTAATCGCCATCGAACTGTTATTGAGAATTGTGAACTTGGATATCATAAGGCTTATCCCAATGGTTTTAGGTTATGCCTGGGAAAAGGAAATTGGTTATCGAATTATGACAAATTGTGTTTCAGTAAGTCGTATATATTGTATTTAATATGTCGCAATAATTACCAATTTATTAATATATTGTAGCTCCAAAGTATGGTTAAGTATGGTAATTTATTTACGTTTATAGAAATGTGTCCACCTCTTGAAGCAGATAGTTTAGATATTAAATTTAGTCATAATAGTGACTATACTAATTGTTCAAATCTATCGATACCTGGTACAATAGCAATCCCATCATGTAAGCCAACATATGCTGCACCAAATGGTCAAGAAGAGACTCCGCTTGAATTACGTTGTCAGTCTAATGGGTTGTGGAACAAACAACTATATAGATGCAAACCAATGTAATTGTACTTTTTATCATATAAACATAAGTCTCTAGCTTATATATTTATTATTAATAAAAATATTCAATGAACTTTAACTGTATTAAAATGCTTTTGTTTGTACCTAATACAAATGTTAAAATGAAAGAAGAAAAAATAGTTAATTGTTGTATATGCACAATCACTTGACGTATATTTATAAACCATTGTGTAATAAAATAATTAAACGTTAATACCATAAACATAAAACTAGTTTATAGGTCTATAACGGTTAATACCATGAAATTATTGATTTTTTAACAAACTTTAATTATTGACATATTCTTAAACTATAACGCATTGGCTTCGGCTGGCACTGTTGAATTATAGTGAGTTAAAATGGTATAAGATTATCGTTTTAGTGTATTTAGTTGTAATAGGTACCTCATCGAATTATAATTGAGTATACCCTAGCAAAAATCAGTTTTTTTTTTAGAAAAGTTCTTATTCACTCACATAATAGTAATAACCAGACTGCTAATATTTATTCATATAAAAACATATAAATATTATTAGCACAAAACATATTTAATAGGACGTATGATATTGATATTATTTGAACTCCAATTACATTATTTGTTATTTTTATGATTTGAGTCGCGACTCACCACTAATATCATTTATCGTAGATAAGCTCTTATAATCCTTACGAATATAGAATAATGTTATTGTGGCCATGTCTGAGAATTTATGTTATATACCTAGCAAATGCATTACACTTTCCACTCGGTACTCGATAAAGGTCGAACCACTTACTGTGCGGTAAGCGGTTATGCCTATAATTATATTTTTGTACAACTGTCAAAACACTCATACCTCCGAAAAGGCGAAAAGTGATTTCCAAGTACAGTAATAGATACCTGTTACAAGATTTGTTCAGATTAGAATATTACAACTCAAGTCAATATTTTATTATATTGTAAAAATTGACTTACACACTCGACAATACGAAAAAAGCAACAATAGTTTTTTGTGTTCACAATTTTTTTTTTAATTATCGAACAAAAACAATATAACATTTTTTAATTTTGAATATAATTTCAAAAACGGAAACAATTTTGGAAATGGTTGCCGTTATATTATTATACAATTTTCTATGTTCAAAAAAAGTTAGAACAAAAAAGAAAAAGCCGAAATTTGTAAAGTGAATATTATTCGAGATAAGTAAAGAAAATTTAAATAAAAAAAAAAAAAGGCATCGGACAAGACGACGCGATGTGGGGGGGGGGGGTACGTGATGGCGAGTTGGTGGTGCTGATGATGTATTGGTAACTGGTATATGGCCACTGGTCACCTCTACAACGTTCTCACGGGCTGTCCTGCGGGGCGGACGAGAGTCGCGGGCGAGTTTGCTCGAGACCGCTAAGACGACCATGGCAGCGGACGAAGCCCGGCCACGACGGCTGCGAGAGCGACGACGGTTGGCGACGAGAGGCTAGTGCGCGATGTCGTGCGCTGCTTGACGGTACTGCGGGTGTTGAAGACGACTGCTTGTGCCGGCAACGACGGTGACCTTCAAAGCTCGGAAAGGCGAGCTGGCGACTACGATCTCGGTGCAGTTGCGGAATCGGTGGCGTTGCGACTTGGGATCGGACCACTGGGCGAAAGGGGAGAGAATCTGCGGACAGCTTTGCGACGCGCCGCTGTCCTGATAGTCTCCGTGATTTTCGCCCTGGCGTCTCCGTCTGCCGCAGCCGATGGCCACGGAGTCGCGCACCGCCAAACCCGACGAAACGTTTCGTTTCCTCGAGCCCGGCGCTGCTGACGTCCGTGGCGTTCCTAGCTACCCTGTAATCATAGTCATCCGTCACTCACCCGCCGTGAGCTCTGAGGTCTCCGTCGCCGCCGTCACGCGAGTCGCGCAGCACTGCGTTCGTCACTGAGCAGGTACCGTCGGGGACGGCGTCGTTGTCCGCGCCGGTACCGCTAGCCTCCGTCGTCGTGTCGTTGTCGCTCCCGGACCGAAGCAGCCTGGCGCCCGCCGCGCCGCCAGAGGGTCTCGCGTGTCTCAGCGACCTCGAGCTCGCAACGTCCGCGATCGCGTCGCGCTACCGCAGGATGGCCGGAGAACGTGTATCGGCGACTTACCGCCGGTCACCACCTGAATGTGCACTGCCGCGTACCTATTACCTCGAAACCCCACACGTCGCCTCTCCTTGTCCGCTGCCCTCAGCCAGGGGGGAAACTTTTGGACGGTTTCACTTCGGGGGACAACAACAGCGCAACACGCGTGCGGCTCTCGTCAGGCCTCTCCACGCAGAGGACACCAATCTCGCCGTTCCACTGCGCCGAGCTGCGCGTGTTTCTGTCTTGACCCCCGGGTCCAGCCAACCAATCAAGATCCCAATACTGTTTCTGACTTCCAGTCCTCTAGCCGGTGTGGCGCCCACCGCCTCGCCACCCAGCTCCTTTTCCGCGACTTCCTGCACCGGAGGCGCGACCACTACGACGTCGTCTGCGATCGGTTCAACCGGTTCTGCCGTTTTGTCAGATTTGTCGACCGGTTGAAAGACGTTGAACGGCACGTAGTCGTCCCCCGCGAAGCTCGTCGCATACGATAAAAGTCCTTCCAGGTCACCGATGGTAGGTTCCTCGTCGATGTCGTCTATTCGTTTAAGTTCTTCCTCCATAATCTCGTACTCGACGTTGCTTATTATCTTCCCCAAGATTTGCATGATGGTTGTTTCCATTTCCTTTTCTTCGTTATGCGATGCAGCCATTTTTTCGTTCAGGTTTTTTTTTTTTGTCCGCGTAAGGTGTCAGATTATATACTCAGATGAGTTGCAAATGTGCCGATTTCGGTATTTATTCCTGGGCCGTCGACGATGATTTAAAACAAACATCGTTTATTAGTAGCCAGCACATTATTATATTAATCGACCGGCATCAGCTGGATTTCGGGCCCGTTAATTTTTCCAAATGCCATTATTATACGACTATTATTGGTATACCGACTCTAACTGTATATACTTATGCAGAGGTACACTATAATAATTGTATTATAATATTTTAACGAGAATTTATATGTCGATCTGCATTATATTATTATACTGTCGTATATATATACTCGTTTTATACTTTTGTAGGTACCTATAAGATTTTTAGATTCAGAACGAAACGCGACCAATGCGTATTGCGATTTTACAATTATTGTTTTTTGTGTATGTGTTGGGGTGTAGGTACCTATAATGCGTTTTATAGTAGAAAAAATGCTTTGATCTACAACGTTGGGGATGATTTCAGATCAAGTTGCATCTATAGTTGGTACTGGGTATTTTAAAGGGCGAAATCGCAGAAAATTAAAAGTTCTTTTCTTAATAATAATATTAGGAAAACCGACAAAAAAATGAGGGAACATTTTTTACGAGCATCTTCCATATTATATATTGCATAATTTTCAAATGGCTATTTTAGAAGTTTTTAATTTTCTATTTTAGGTTCTGACGATCTCTAAACTTAATTATTCTCATCACTATACTGTTTTTTAAATAAAAATATGTTTGTAATTATTTTGTAATTACGAGTATTTAAAGTTATGATTTGACTCAAGATAAAAGAAAATGTTATTGGAATGAATCTCCTTAATAGTATTAAATAAAATATTATTCAAACTGACTATTGACTATCAAGCATTAAATATTTTAATACCTACCTACGCTAATATTGTTTTATATAATATATTATTAATAGTTTCTCATTTAATTATATTATATTAATCACATATTTGTGAAAAAACATAACATCTAAAATATTGGTATAGTTTCATTTCAGCTTGATTTTTGTTAATATTTATGGATTTTTAAATAAAAAATTTAAAACAAAACTTTCCTCTTGTGTGAGTGAATGTCACAGTTTTGCTATGTTAACTCGATCTAAAAGCATTACAGTTTATTGAGGCTCGTCATCCGCTCTTTACTTCGCATATATCGTATACTATAGTTCTCCACTTTTTATTGGCTGTAAATCGTATACATGCATATATAACATAGAACAAAATCAACTTATCTCAAGTGGAGAACAATGACATTAGCCGGAAGTGAAGGAGATGAGCATACTGTCCAAAACTAGTACTACGGTGATGATACCTATCTAATTATATGGCATCGGAAAAACCAGGAGTCATTATTGTAGATAAAAAGATTAAAATACCATGTAATTATTATTTATTACTAATAAGTAATAAATATTTCCCTTCAACCTTTTGTCAAAACGTTAATATACAAATACCTGATTACATGATTATCAGATAGCACTATGACTATTCCTAGTTGTATATCTACTCAGTGGCGCCGAAGTTTTTAAAATGTGGTAGGAAAATTTTAAAACTTCCCGGCTTCAATATCTTAATTATTTAATATAGAGGTACCCTAACATACATTTATTCATAATCACGGTTTAAATTTACTCATGCTTATAATAAAGTTATGATGTAAATTAAATATGGCCGGCCGGCCATATTTTTCAAAAAAGAGGTCAGCATGGACTTCGGCGCCACTCATACCTACTCATACGTACAAGATAAAAATATCAAATTAAACACAACTTTAATAAAAACTATAGGTATTCTGACACAGATTTTACTAATAGAGATCGTGCAGAGTATAAAAATATTATTCTAAAGAATGAATAATATTGAACAAAATTTAATTGACTTATCTAAAAAATATTAGGTACAATGTACATATTATTATGATTTTGATTTAGCTCTAAATAAAAATATTATTGTCATACAAGTATAATATGTATATGCTGTTAATAAATAAACATAATTTAAAAAAAAGGTGGGTAAGTGGATGTCGCTCTGCTGTACAGTAGGTTACAAGTGGGTCACTGTATAATGGATGCTTTAAATTTGAATTCAATGATACAATATCATTGTATAAGAAAAACGATTCTGAGCGAAGACATCCTACTGTACGGCAGAGCGACATCCACTTACCCACCTTTTTTTAACTTAACATTTAAATTCTTAAATAAAAAAAA